TGGACTTGAGATCTGTGGTTTTGAATATTCACGGAGGGGTGACCTCTGTTAAGATCACACACCCATTAAGATCACACGCCTGCGGCACTTGAATATCGGTGAATCTCCGTTTTCGCGGGGGTGTCCGGAATGGATCCCCCATGAAAATGGAGGGCCGACTGTATACTGCACTTCCTTTCATTTGTTATGAATTTTTTTGCTGTTTCCCTTCAGTAGATGGCCCAGGGACCTAATTTTATGAGAGAGGGAGCAAAATTAGTGATTATTCATATGACTATTTGACTGGGATATTTCTTTAAATAGGGGATGGTTCTGATAACTAATTATACATGCTTTTATTTGCTTATTGTTATTGAGAACAGATGTGTGTATTTGTAGATGCACAGTAGCTGGATGCAATGAAAAATTCATAACAAAAGCGAATTTGAACAAGCATATTACACGCAGGCATCTATTGAGGAAATATATAGTAAGTATCTCACTTTTCTTGTTATTTTGTGTTGGTCATTAGGAAATCATTCACGTAAATGTGCTTGATCAACCTGTTGTTTTCATCCTGTTAGTGCTTATATTGCATGCTTGGATTGTTTTGAAGCATTGTGAACCAATATGCTTAGGTCAGGTTTCTCCATTGTCAGCTATGGCAGAGTATCCTATTTACTTGCAAAGATGGCAGTGGAAACCCAGTTTCAGTTTATTCAATAAGCCCATTTTATTGAAGAGACCAGTCAGACCACAGCCTTGCTGTATGCTGTGTGGAGCTGGGAAAGGTTACTTTTTGGGCTGCTGCTCCCAAAATACTGTAGCCAATGTGGCCACTGGATCCTTTCCTCAGCTTGCCATGGATTCATGTATTAACACTTGGGCAAAACATAAAATGCTGCATATGCTAATATTTTTCTTTACTTTTGTTTGTCTCTGATGGTAACAAACTTGATTTTCCAAACAGTGTGAATTTGAAAACTGTGGGAAGTCTTTTAAAAAGCACCAGCAATTAAAAGTCCACGAGTCTCAACACACTGGGGAACCAGTCTTCAAGTAGGTGAATTATTTAGCAATTCTGCCTGTTTCTTCATGCATGAGAATGTATTGAGGTTTTCAGAGTGCTTGTAGGCAGGAATTGCAAATGATTACTTTGAAGTTGATAGATACAGATGTTACTGGGGGTCTTTGGTTACTTCTGCAGCAGTTTAAATTTGTATGATTTGTAACAGGAAATACCAGGAGTAATTTAGGCTATTCATACCTTTTCACACACCCTGCACTGATCAATAGTATGCTTTCAGTTCTTAGTGTGAACATCAGCACCTTTATAAAAGTGCTGCTTATTATAATGCACAGTCATCATTTTTGGACAAACATCTTTCTATATTTGTTTTTCATCTCAATTCTTGATCTACCCCTTCTTTTTGGGCCTATCCTGATTCTTCTCAGCTGTTTTCAAATGCATTTCAAAGTCCCCAATCTTAGCTCAGTTTCAGCTTAGAATTTGCTTTGATGTTTCTTTTTTATTGTCTTCCATATTTCCACCAACAAGCTAACACGTCTTCAGTATCTTTGTCGCCTTTGTAGGAGTATTATCACTAAGGGCATTTTGATTTTTTTATAGTTTTAAGAATGGATCAAAACTCTTTAAACTTACTGTAACAATATTTCAGTAAGCATATCACACTGGCTTAAATTCACCCTTCATTGAAGGCAGTTTCTAAAGTGTCTTTTAGAGCATCGTGTTAATGTTATGATAGCAGTGAATAGAACAGTCTACTTGAAAAATTTCTGCCTCATAGTTTGTAAGCTGTGATTTTCATTGCAGTTTTTGAGTGAATATATGTGTGTGTTTGCCACATAGATGTACCTATGAAGGATGTGGAAAGCATTTTGCTACGCCCACCCACCTAAAACGTCATGGCAAGACTCATGAAGGTAAAATAATTTTATTGCTGGCAGATTTGTAGCACAGGACAAACAATGCACCCTGAGTGGAAGAATGGGAGACCCAAATACAGTAATTTTACTTCAGAAGGCTAAGCTGGATGAGTGTTACACGTTACACACTATTGCCACCTTTCTCCTTTACCACTTTAATTCTAGCTGGCAGTCCTGTGGGAACTTTGTATCTCCACCCTTGCCACCTAATGAAGTGTACTGGACCCACACTGTCTTTTGTATGATGTCCCCCTCCAAATATTTGTAGCATGTTTTGTGACTGAAACATAGGCCAAGTGATGTTGGAACAAGAAGCAAAATTTATTTTATAACAGCATGTAATAAATGTAATTGGCATCAGAATTTGCTACTAGAGTCTTTCTTGGTTACAAAATTATAATGTTAGCTTTTAATTCACTCACAGTACCTCAGCCACACTGGCTAACAATATCTATCTGGAGAGAACACCACAGCAACTCTCTTTAGAGCTCTGTGAGTGTTCAGAGTCTCTCCTTTCTAGACTCTACCTCCCCAAAATACAGTTCCCTCAGGAACTCTCTGGCTTAATTTTCTCAACATTCTCCTCCTCTCAACACTAACTCTAACTGTCCACCAACTGTCAGCCTGGGCTTTTTAAATGCTCCCAGCTGGAATCCATTGGCTGGCTCTCAGCTGCCTCCTGATTGGCCAGCTGGACATTCTGTTCACCACAGTGAGTCATAAATTAAATGTTGGCTTCAAATACAAGGACTAGGCTACAAGCAAATGGATCTGTTGGTTTAATCAAAACCTGGCTCAGTCACATGGTATAGGAGCATTTGTTAGAGCCTTTGCAGACTGCCAGAAATAGTGCAAATTGAGTCCACTTTAACTGCCCTGGCTCAGTGCTAGGGAATCATGGGAACTGTAATTTATTGTGGCACCAGAGCTCTCTGACAGAGAAGGCTCAATGTCTCAGAAAAAAATACAATGCCCATGATTCCCTAGCACTGAGCCTGGACAGTTAAAGTGAACTCAATTTGCACTATTTCTAGTAGTCTGCAAAGGCCCTTTATTTAAATGGCATAAGGACAAGGATGTGTTAGAGGGGCTTTGCAGACTGCCAGAAATAGTGCACATTGAGTCCACTTTAAGGGTTAGGGTTAGTGCTAGGGAATCATGGGAATTTGTTTTTTGTTTTTTTCTGAGACATTGAGTCTTCTCTGTCAGAGAGCTCTGGTGCCACAATAAAATACAGTTCCCATGATTCCCTAACCCTTAAAGTGGACTCAATTTGCACTATTTCTAGCAGTCTGCAAAGGCCCTAAGTCTTCCTAAACCAACATTATTTAAGTATAAGGTTGTCTTTCTTGGAAGTTACTGACTTTTATGATAATTTTGAAGAAGGCACATGAAATAACAGTACTTGACCAATAGTATGCTGAGTAAATGTTGTTTTGAGGAATAACATACAAATCATGACTGGCAGGTATGCTTGTCCTTACTACACAGGTTAAGTATCATTTATCCAAAAATCTGAAATCTAAAATGTTCCAAAATACAAAAAAAAAAATCATGGGTGGCTGAGATAATTACTTTTGCTTTCTGATGTTCATTGTACACAAACTTTGTTTTGTGCACAAAATTATTAAAAATAGTGTATAAAATTAACTTCAGGCTATGTGTATAAGACGTATATGAAACATTAATGAATTTTGTGTTTAGACTTTGATCCTGTCTCCCAAGATATCTCATGTATATACCAATAGGCAAGGTTGCATAATCCAAAACATTTCTGGGTCAGAGCTTTTCAAATAAGGGATAGTCAACCTGTACTAGCAACCTGAAAGTCAGGCAGTTTATTTACACTGTAGGCTGGAAGGGGATACCCTATAAAGGTGAATGTGCATTTATTTTTTATTTTAGTTTCTAAACTTCATTTGGTGTTGTTGATTTTTAAAACTAGGTTATACATGCAGAAAAGATGACTGTTCATATGTTGCGAAAACCTGGTC